TATTATCTACAAAGCGTTTAGACATTCGCAGTCCACTTATACTCATCTGACTATCGCTCCACATAGTTCTGTATGAATTTCAAATTCGCCTGTTCAAGAAGTAACGTTCCATCAATTGACTGTGACAGAGCAAAAAGGTATCGTTCCCAGTAGGCTGCGCATCTGTCCTCCAACGATTTTTCGTTGAATACAAACGCATAAAACAGATCATTCCATTCTAAATGAAATGATATGCGTTTTAAACATGTAAAATAAAGTGGGATAGATCATTTCTCTGTTTAACAGTGAAGAGTGGAAAGGTCGCAAATAACCATGTAAACAGCGGTAAGACAAAGCATGAAAATAAAGCTCTTCGAAGTTCGTATGAAGTTATATTATTAAAACGAAAATATTTAATCATGTTTATTCGCTGTCTAATTTTCTCCTGCGTTTTATTGATCATCATACTCCAATGTATTTTTTCAGAGATGTGGTATCCTAGATATTTAAAGCTTTTAACCCAGCCAATATCATTTCCACCGCAGGAAACTTTAGGTAGAGGATTTATAACTGCTCTTGCTGACCACATGCTCATTGTTGTAGAATAGTTTATGGGTTGAAGGTGTAACAGAGAATATAGTTCTAAATTATCAAAAAAACTTTTTAATCTTTTTTCTAAATCGATGAATTGTTCGGTATACTTAACCCCTATTCTGCCAGCTAGAACTGCAGCAAGGTCATTTGCCATCAAATAATTAATGTCACACTAAACCCCTTACCTGTACTGTTTACTTGTTATTCAGTGAGAAAATTCCATATCAAGAAACGGAGAAAAAATAGGCAAGTATATGTTGCACACTAAATTACAGGTGTTGATACGATGACAGAGCTGTTCTATAACGAAGTCGCGCTTGATTGATTGAGAAAAAATATCTGTTGGAAGAAAAAATTCCACCGACAAAAAAACACAAAATAAATCGCTCGCAGACTTGCCCTCTTCAATAAGAATACATCAATATCACTTGATGAGTAACCTTGCTTGTGGTCTCGATATTTTTGCAGTAACCCTTTGCTTGTTTTTACACTAGCATAAACATTAATAACGACAAAAGATGTCGCAAGATAAGTATGAATGCCAATCGAAAGGCATATGAGAAGATTATTGTCATTCATTGAAAATGAAGATCTCTGGAAGAATAAATAGAATCTTTTATGCTGATCGTTTGATGGTAGTAATATTTTGTTCAAATAAACAGCGACTAAAATCAATGTATTACACTGTTAAGTAGGATAGAATGATTCTACAGTAATAATGTTTACATATATTTGATATTCTGATGAGACTACTGGTAATACTTTAAAAGAACAATGAACTAATTAGTTACCACAATATTCTTTATCGAAAGTACAAGAAGGTACTTTATAACACGAATGCAAAATTTCCGTTAATACCCTTTAATAAATCTTGCCACCAGAATATGGTTCAAAACGTATAGCAGATGTTCGTTAATAGAAATATAAAAATATTCGTTATAGTTTTCTTCCACGCATCTACTAGCCAAAATATACTGTAGAAAAATACAGACACATGACATATTGTTAGCGAATTGGAACGAAAAGCTCCTCTGATGACTTAGTCGGATAAAGGATATACAAGTCTACACTCTAAAAAAACACAGGTTTTTTACGACCCGGCCCAAAGATCCCGTGGAATCCGAAAAACTTAAGACNTGGAATGATTTGAGGGTACTCGAATTTAAAAACAGGTATTGGCGCTTTTAAGACTAGATTAAGATATGAGTCTAAATTTCTATTGAACTCACGAGGGAACATATTTAGACGTTTAAGCCGTTTAGACTCCATCTTTTGGCGATAGATAGATCTCGATAGATATAAAAAAACCCAAAAGGATTCATGCCCTCGCGCCTTTATTCTCGAGATATCGAGTTTTCAAGATATATATGAAAAGAGAGAATGAAACGAAAAATGATTGTTTTTCAAGCGACGGAGTAAATTCAGCCATTGGATGTCTTTTTGAACAGGCAGATGAAAGTGATCCCTCATCGGTTATATGATCATGTGCTGCTCGATGAGCTTGACAACAACATTAGCAAACGTAATAATATCATTCGTCTCATGTCTCTCACTCATAACCAACTCTCTTCCGAAGTTTTTCGTCGGATGATCCAATGCACTTGGTACGCCAGTGGCTACACAGACAATCCTCCAGGATCCTTCAAAACTGTGACCGAAGTGTGCTTTTCGTTTGACGCTACAATATGCACCACGCCTTCATGCGATACGGCTTCTTTCATATGCTGTAGCTGGTGTGAAAAACCACTGTTTTTATCACTTTTTCCTGAACTATCACTTCCATCGATTTTCTTTCGCGAGGACTTCTGTGGTTTATAATCATATCAAATATGAAGTGAAGAATTTTGAGTGCTCTATGGACTGATGAAAAACGAGTATAAGTGTTACTGATAAGATGCGATCTAACTCTTAATTCAGAACACGTTGTACGAGCAGTGCACGAAACTTAAAAAATTTTCACCCTAATACTTTACTGTCCTCCCAAACCACTCATTTTTCATTTCATTCTCTCTTTTCATATATATCTTGAAAATTCGATATCTCGAGAATGAAGACGCGAGGGCACGAATCCTTTCGGTATTTTTTATTTCTCATCAAGATCTATGTATCGTCAAAAGATAGTGTCTAAACGGCTTATACACCTAAATATGTTCCCTCGTCAGTCAAGGAGTTGAGATAAGCTCGGTTATGAAGAACAAGTACATAGTATTTTGTCAACGCTCCTATTTTTTAAATTGATCCAACAAGTGTATTGATAAAATGCATTCACAGAGAGATTGTTTATTTGGCCCAGCATTCTAATTGTTATTAATATCATTCATTGGTGAGGAAATCCTTGAGCTGACTCACAATTAATGATTTCCTATCATCATCTGACATACCAAAAGAAATGCATAAAAACGATAGCGAAGGATCTTATCCATCTAAATGTCGCATGAAATGCACGAAACTAAAGCATCAAAAGAGAAACACTCCCTAACGATTTTCTGGAAACCGAAAAATGAGTACTTTGTGTACATCAGTCGAAACTAATAACTTTGAACAGCTTTTCTGGAATCTTAGCCGCATCAAAAAAACTTCACACCAATACCTATCGTTTGAAAAAAAAATCAATTGCTTAAGCTTGACAAATAATGGAGTTATTCAAATATACTTTTCTCAGGGACTTTTGGGACACCCTGTACATCCTAACGACGATAAAACAAGCTAAAGCAATATCTATGCTCAAGATGTAGTAGTTGAAAGCTGTTTTATTTGCATTATCTATGTCATCTTATGACGTTCGGTGAGTATGCGTTAACGTTATATACACAGATCGCACACATAAATCACTTGTCGAGTGTCACGCGGTAACATGATTAGAGTTTACTCAGCCTAAGAACAGATATTGTAGAATAAAAGAGATTCATGAATTTAGAAGCTTAGCAAAAGCAGGTCGACTCTCTGGAAGTCATCTAAATTACAAGTTATATCGCATGTCTTGTAAAGAGCCAATTTATTGCGTTAAGTTGCACCATACAATAAATCTCGAGGCGGCAATGGTCATTTTTGAAAGTCAGATATTGCTAGTACCAGCTACCATTGTCTATCGGTGAGATTTCACTTGGAAATTCTCTAGCTTTAATTCTCAACAACTCCTTCGTGTGATCAATGTGAATGAAGTGAAACTGGTTGAAACTAAAGAGTATCGTGCTTATTCACTAAAACTCAATACGTTAAACATTTTAGGTCCTTATTGATTGAAATATTTTGGACAAATACTAAGATGACATTCATAGTCAACACAATCAACTGTATGTGTCTTGGTATGCGTTTAGAAATAAAGCAGGACGAGAAAAGGCTCATGTGAGATTCCACGGAATAAAAGTGAAAAAACTTTAATTTGAATCAAATCGCATGAAAATGAACATTTTCGAATCCAGGTTTAACGTTTTCTTGTGATCTTCTTTTTTTTAACGATTTCGGATAGGAAATAGAAAAATTGCTCCAGTCAAGTTTCGACATTGCATATTAATTAAGACATGAGCTCATAACTTGGTAGACACTTGACAAGATTTTTGCCGGCAAAGTAGACTATTTCGGTATAGAAGCTGTCCATGTTTCTAAGAAATAGAACGTTTTCTCGGAAATTATAATGAGAATTCAGAAACTTTTAAATGTGTTTTTCATTTCTCATTAGGGGTGTGAATTTACTGTTATTGATATTTGTTATTAATAACAAAACAATAACAAATAACTTTTTTTTCTGATGAACATTCAACTCCAATTGCTGTCTAATGCTACTATATCAATTATATTGGTCTATGTTTAAGGAATGAATATGCTGCTGCTATGATATCCATCGATCTAGAAGTTTGAGAATTTGCATAGATCATATAGATGAAGGTATTTCACAGGTTTTTTACTCTTCACAGCAATAGAAATTGATCGAGTTCTCAGAAAATTGTCACGATTTCAATACATTAAGCCTTTCTTGTTACAATCAATAACAGAAGTTCAGACAACTGTCTGAACTCACGAAGAATGTTCATTTTGAAACATTTGATAAATATTTGTCTCAGGTAATAGTTCTAGTTTAAAACTTATATATTTCAGTATTGATTAGTTCCTTCATGCAACACTGCTCGCAATTATAATTCGAAACAGTTGGCATATATCGTTAGAATAGACAAAGTCATTTATTTGAACTAACGTACAGCTTCTAGGTCGATCTCGAAACACATTTGTTTTCGTCCTTTTTTTATTTTTCTCTTCCATCAAATTTGTTCATCGAATGAATTATATAGATGAACGAAAAGTGTTCAGTCCAGTCTATGACAGAACGAGAAAAAAAACTTTTCTATTTCTCTGTCATTCTCTCTTTTCAATCGTAAAATTTACTTGTATTGTTGATTCTTTTGTAATTTTCAAACGATTCAATTCAAAGGATGTCAGTCGAAGAAGAAACAGAATATCCGTCTTTTCCATCTCCACAAGTCGATCCTCAACATTTTTCTGCTCGTTGTCGTTCAGTATCTCGAAGACGTGGTCGTAGTTTGAATTCTGCTCGCGTTCAAAGTCTTAACCGTACTGCTAAACGTGAGACTTCCACACCAAAACAAACGCGTTCTAGTGACCGTAGTTCAAATCAATCGTCAACCAACAATCAATCATCAATTCGCACCAAAGAAATAAAAGGAAATGTTGCTACCCCTCTTGTTTCACCTATTCCATCATCAAATCCACCTGATCGTTCTCAATCGCCGGTTTCACCATTGCCTTTCGACTGTCCATCGGATGATGAACAACATAAAAAACAAAAGGGTGTGAGTGTGTGGGTGTGGGTGTGGGTCTAGACCGTTTCAGCACATCCACACTCTATTTCTCCTTTTTATTTATGCTTAGTATGCGCTAATCTTGTGTCTGTTTATGTTCTTTGCTAGGCCAGCCGAGTGACTAATACTTTTTTTTGTTTGCAATAACAGTTGACCGATCAGGTCCTGTCAGTACAACATTTTAAGAAAAAGAATACAAGATTAGCGTGAATAATTGATACATATGACAGACAGTAAATTTTGACACAAACGACGTGATTACACAGATTTTAACACAAAAAAAAATGTATATTCGAATTATTGAATCCTTCCTTTTAATTTTCTCACACACACAGTATGCATACAGTACATCTTTCTCTCCTTACACAATATTAACAGAATACAGTCAGAAGACACTCATTTACTCAAAAGATCACCGGAAAAGAAGTAAGTAAGGAAATCTCGTTCATATCATAGCAGAGAATTGACTCAATGGAGGCATTGCCACTACACCACGAAACACATTTTTCCAAGACCGAAACATAATCCACAAAACGTTTAGGCATTCGCAGTCCTCTTATACTCATCTCATTATCTCTCCATATAGTTTTATATGAATGCGAATTCGCCTGTTCAAGAAGTAACCTTCCATCGATTGACTCTGACAAGGCAAAAAGGTATCTCTCCCAGTAAGCTGCGCATCTGTTCTCCAATGATTTTTCACTGAATACAAACTCATAAAATACAGCATCCCATTCTAAATGAAACAGAGCATCCTATTCCGCGATGTTGAACATTGCGGAATCAGTTCCGCCCCCGGAATCAATTCCGTCCAATTCCGGGAACTCGATCATGATTGTACAGAACAGATCTAATCGATATTCGTCGAGTTCTGTCAATTTCCGGAATTCCGGAGATTCAGTCGAGATGGAATTACTCGGAATTCCTAGGAATTTCTTTTGATTCAGGAATTCCAGGAACTCTTACCAATTTCGTATAATTCCGGAATTTCGAGTATTATTTCAGTTCCGGAATTGGAAGGAATTTCTGGACATTGGGAGTAATTCCGTCTGCAATCGGTTCCTGGTATTCCGGGAATTGGCGGAATTCGATCGATGTCGAGTACGTCTCTTATGCTGAATGATGATCGAGTTCCCGGAATTGGATGAAACTGATTCCCGAGGCGGAACTGATTCCGCAATGTTCAACATTGCGGAATAGGATGACTGCTCAAATGAAATGATACACGTTTTAAACATGTAAAATAAAAATATGATAGATCGTTTCTCTGTTTAACAGTGAAAAGTGGAAAGTGGAAAGATCGCAAATACCCATGTAAACAGCGGTAAGACAAAGCATGAAAACAAAGCTCTTCGAAGTTCGTATGAAGTTGTATTATTAAAACGAAAATATTTAATTATGTTTATTCGCTGTGCAATTTTTTCCTGCATTGTATTGATCATCATACCCGAACGTATTTTTTCTGAAATGTGGTATCCTAGATATTTAAAGTTTTTTAACCCAGCCAATATCATTTCCACCGCACGAAACTTTAGATAGAGGATTTATAACTGCTCTTACTGACCACATACTCATTGTTTTAGAATAGTTTATAGGTTGGAGGTGTAACAGAGAATATAGGTCTAAATTATCAAAAATTGTTTTAATCTTTTTTCCAAATCGATGCATTGTTTGGTATACTTAACACCTATTCTGCCAGCTAGAACTGCAGCAAGATCATCTGCAAAAAAAGAACGGAATGCACACCTCAAGAAAATCACCCATCTCTGAGTGAAAAGTAATAAAAAGTGTAGGCATAAAACACGAACCCTGATGACCTCCTCTTCTGATAGTAAACCATCTGGATCCTACTCCTTGGATTTCTATAAAACCGCGCCTATTTTCTAACCATGACCTAATCCATTTTAAGTAAGAACGAGGAATTTCCATTCTTCTTAATTTAGCTAAACATCCTTCTATCCACATACGATCAAAAGCACTTTGAAAATCTATAAAAACATTAGCGACCGGAGAAGAATTCGAGATTAAAGAAGATGCTTCTTCAATAAAAAGGAGGACTCTCGTTTGAAGGCGAAAACCTGGTCTAAAACCGAATTGTGAAGTGGGTACAAGACCACGTCTGTCCAATAATCTTCGAAAATGGTTTGTAAACAGGCGCTCATTAACTTTCATAAATACGTCTAACAATGATATTGGACGAGTCTTGGCTGGTATACAAATAAATTCTTTTTTTGCAAGTAAGATCATTCGCGCATCTTTCCAGGCTGTAGGCTGAATCGCGGTAGAAAACGAATAATTGAATGTTTTGAGTAGTAAGGACCAATAGCTACTGGGCAAAAAATTGAAAAAATAATTTGAAATTTCATGTGGTTCACACGACTTTTTCTTTTTAAGCTTATGAATGATTTCTAAGACTTCTTCTATTGTCGCCTCTGGTATTGGCTCATCATAAGTATCAAAATCAGTAAGAGGAGCATCCAAAATTGGGTGCGATTGAATAATCTCTTCAGGGCTCGGTTCTTCAAAATGTTGTTCATAAAAATCTGCAGCAATCTGTGCCATTTTCTTAGCGTCCTTAATTATTTCTCCATTCGGTTCCACCAATGCCTTTAACGAGGCAGATTTTCCGTTAAAAAAACTTTTTGTTTTAGACCAGAAGGCTGTCGAAACTGGAGTGGATGCATGACGTTTAGAGAGACTATATGATAAGAGTGAACTCATAAAAGATTTTAATTCGTATTTCGATTCCTTTCTAAGTCGATTCATTGCATTTTTTAAACTTAAATCTCCAGTACGTTTCTGTCTAAAAGAAAGTGCACGAATAAATGAGAAACGAGCTCGTAGCTCTTTTGGGATTGCTACCCGATATTTTTCAAGGGGAAAATACGTGGTGCAGCGAGCTGAAAGAAGAAAAAGAAATCGTTTATGATCATTTTAAACATTGTCTAAATTATCCAAATTCCGCAAGGCTTCCCAAAACGAATAGACAACTGACAAAAAAAAAAGAAAAAACTTTAAAATGAATATTTCTACACTCTTTTATGACTTTTGATTTAATAGCAATGGATGAAATTATAGGTTTATGATCGCTTGTTGTTGTTCCTTCATACGTTTGTAAATCGACAGAAAATTTGGAAGAAAGTGCATAGTCTATTACTCTATCCGATCTTAAGCTAGTCGAATTTTCTGGTGTAAAAGGTGANTTCTCTTCAATTAATTTTTTTCTATGCCAATTCATTAAAATGTATGATATATCTGTGTTAAAACGCATTAACTTCTGTAATTTCTTTGCATACAGACGTTAAAACATGTTCATTACTCTAATATCTTCGTTAAATGTGTTAAACGGAAAATAACCGTTTTCACGCATTTATTTTTTCAATTTGTCTAGTAAACGAGTTTTATAGCGTTGTTTTCTTCAATTCTCATCGTCAATGCATCAAAACGGCGTTTTGCCATTTATCTGTCTGCATGGGTAGTTCTAAATTATCAAAAAATCGTTTTAATCTTTTTTTCTAAATCGATGCATTGTTCGGTATACTTAACCCCTATTCTGCCAGCTAGAACTGCAGCAAGGTCATCTGCAAAAAAAAACGGAATGCACACCTCCAGAAAATCACCCATGTCTGAGTGAAAAGTAATAAAAATTGTAGGTGTAAAACACGAACCCTGAGGACCTCCTCTTCTCATACTAAACCATCTAGATCTCACTCCTTGGATTTCTATAAAACCGCGCCTATTTTCTAACCACGTCCTAATCCATTTTAAGTAAGAACGAGGAATTCCCATTCTTCTTAATTTAGCTAAACATCCTTCTATCCACATACGATCAAAAGCGCTTTGAAAATATATAAAAACATTAGCGACCAGAGAAGAATTCGACATTAAAGAAGATGCTTCTTCAATAAAAAGGAGGACTCTCGTTTGAAGGCAAAAACCTGGTCTAAAACCGAATTGCGAAGTGGGTAAAAGACCACGTCTGTCCAACAATCTTCGAAAACGGTTCGTAAACAGGTGCTCATTAGCTTTCATAAAAACGTCTAACAATGATATCGGATGAGTCTCGGCTGGCGTAGAAATAAATTCTTTTTTTGCAAGTAAGATCATTCGCGCATCTTTCCAGGCAGTAGGCAGAATTGCGGTAGAAAACGAATAATTGAATGTTTTGAGTAGTAAGGACCAATAGGTACTAGGCAAAAAATTGAAAAAATAAATTGAAATTCCATGTAGCTCACACCACGTTTTCTTTTTAAGCTTATGAATGATTTCTAAGACTTCTTCTATTGTCGCCTCTGGTATTGGCTCATCATAAGTATCCAAATCAGTAAGAGGAGCATCCAAAATTGGGTGCGATCGAATAATCTCTTCAGGGCTCGGTTCTTCAAAATGTTGTTCATAAAAATCTGCAGCAATCTCTGCCATTTTCTTAGCGTCCTTAATTATTTCTCCATTCGGTTCCACCAATGCCTTTAACGAGGCAGATTTTCCAATAAAAAACTTTTTGTTTTAGACCAGAAGGCTGTCGAAACTGGAGTGGATGCATGACGTTTAGAGAGACTATATGATAAGCGCGAACTCATAAAAGATTTTAATTCGTATTTCGATTCCTTTCTAAGTCGATTCATTGCATTTTTTAAACTTAAATCTCCAGTACGTTTCTGTCTAAACGAAAGCGCATGAATAAATGAGAAACAAGCTCGTAGCTCTTTTGGGATTGCTACCCGATATTTTTCAAGGGGAAAATACGTGATGCAGTGAGCTGAAAGAAGAAAAAGAAATCGTTTATAATCACTTTAAACATTGTCTAGATTATCCAAATTCCACAAGGCTTCCCAAAACAAATAGACAACTGACAAAAAAAAAAGAAAAAACTTTAAAATGAATATTTCTACACTCTTTTATGACTTTTGATTTAATAGCAATGGATGAAATTATAGGTTTATGATCGCTTGTTGTTGTTCNTTATTCAGCTGTTTATTTTGTTCATTCAAATGATGATCAACGAGATTTTTTAGTTCTAGAACTGTTTTTTTGTCCTTGTCTTTATCACTACGACTATCCACCGGTTCACTGATGGTAGATATCCATGGCGAGTTTTTCAATACTTGCTTGTGCAACCAAGGCCCTACACACTGTTTTCCGATTTTGATCAGGACAACGAGTACCGCTCCTATACCCAACGAGAGTAACATGAAACTGGATAGTAGAACTTTTGACAACCAATGTAAAACTGATTTTTAGAAACTAGATGAATGGATTTGATGAAAATTAGGTACATGCATAAGTTTTCAAAGATGTTCATTAATTATTTTTTTTTCATGATTCGTCAGTCGTAATATAAGAGATATAGTCTAGTTGTTTTTCATTTTATCGAAATCAATTCTTCTAATACAAATCTCAAGATAGTTCAATCAAATAAAGACAAGATTTCATAACTTGAAATACTTAAATGCTAATTTATTCTATTAAATCAGAATGATTTCTCTTCTGTTTATAGAATTTCTCAAATAACAGCTTGAAAGAACTCAATAGTATTTTTCCATTGTGTACGTAATAAGATTTACTTTTGAAAAAATAAACTTATTCATATAATAATTACTATTTTAGATAACGAAAATCCTTATCAATCAATCGCTATTGATCAAAATGTTGTTTATTTTATTGATGTAAGTTAACAATTGTTCATCTATTCATACATATATATATATATATATAATTTGAATTAAAAGAGTTATATACATCCAAAACCATTCATGTTAGCCATTGGTCGTAATCGTAATGGTATATTAAAACTAATACCAACATATAAAATTCGACATTGTTTTCTATTTCAACAAAGTAGTCATTTAGTAAGTTAATTTTATTGAAATTTAGAAAGAAAAATTAATATTATATTAAAGGATATTGATTTTATTGAGCAACAACAATTAAAACTTGATACGAATTATCCATCAGTTGATTTTCGACGTTATCAAAATGATCAAGTTTGTAAAACAAAGAAAAAAGATAGTTTTTTTTATAATTTATTGCTTTTTTATTTATAGTCTATGGCTTTCACCTATCAACCAATTAATTCTATTCGAAATATTTTATTATACAGAGTTTCTCGATTACTTGTCGATCTTGATCAAAATGATGATACACCGATTTTAATATGCATTGAGTATAAGAATTTATGTATTTATTTTTTATTTTAAATCGAACTTTTCTTTTAGTGAAATTCGTGCAGGTGCTATTATATATCTTCTTACAAATTTAATGGAACAATTCAATATTGATAATACAGTTGATATATTTCATCAAGCAAGAAAAATTGCTTATTCTTGTCCGGCATTCAGAACGGAAGTAAGATAGACTTTCTTTTTTCTTCTATTCATGTATTCATCGATTTTTATTTATTTTTAAAGGATGATTTTAGAGATATGTATGAATGGATTAAAATTTGGACAGACCATGATCTAAAAAGTCAAACGAATTGAATAAATATTTTTATGAAATGACGTAATGTCAGATGTATACTGAAATTATAAAATCAATAAATTATTTTTTTTTTCTATCTTTTTCTTATTAATATTTCGGACGACAAATATTACTAGATTGTATAACAAAGTGAAGAAGAAATATACTTCATTTTAACTGATGCTCAAATTTGATGTTTTCTTTTCATTAAAAGCTCATTATTTGTTTGATTATTAGGTTGCCATCGGTTCAATTTTAAAGAAAATACAGAAATTCAATCTTTGATATAAAAGTGAGCAGTATAATATTCCTCATATTGCATTAGAATAATTCTAGTATATTATATAATCGACGATCAATTGTTTTTATTTAATTAGATTTTAAAATAGGACGCATTAGCAAAAATATTTTGATACATGAAAAAAGTTCAGAATATATCAAATATCAGAAACAAAAGTTGTATCTTGTGCTCTGGCTGTTTTAAGATTGTAATTAATCAATTTCATTCGACATGCTCAATTACAAGTTTGACTTGTGGTAGATGATTTCATAAAATATTGATATGCCAATCCCATTGTTTCACCATCCATATCATTTTCCAATCGTAATAAGAATTTGTTCCATTCTTCTGGAGGTCAAACGTTTCGCCTGCGTTCTTTTTCGTCTTTGATTTGGCGTTGCCATTTGTCATTAAGTTGGACTAGTTCAGTAGTAGCTGGCACGAGATGCTTTCGATCAAAAGTGATCTGCTTATCCCTTTCTGTGGTGTATATCAGCGACTTTGTCGAGCCTATGAATGATCCTATATGTGGGATAAACGAAGAAAATCTTTTGTAAATTAAATAGTTCTTACCTTGGATGTTAGCGAATCGATTGGCTTGATCAACAGCTTGCACTACTTTTTCGAAATATATTTGTTCTGCTTTGGTTCCTGGTTCGTTGAGAGCTGGGAGCTCGGGCATATCGATAGTCTCTAACACATCAAGAATTTCAGTGTTGTCATCCTCGCTATCACTGTCGTTGCGACTAGTATATAAGGAGTCATTCACGGCTTCAGTTTGTGCAGCTTCTATCACCTGCTGCAAATATTCATCTCGATCGTTCTTACATTCCTGTAATAGTTGAATGTTATCAATAATCTTGCATGATTCAGATGTAATTCTCGCATGACGAATCGCAAATGCTTGTTGCCATGTCTGATCTACGTCACATAAATCTTGAATCGATCGTCAAGGGAAAAACAGAGTGAGAATGGATCGACAATAACGTTCTCTCGTATCCTCTCGATCTCTACGAGGCACTGGTGGACCGAGAAAGACAGGTACAACCGCTTTTATACGCTTTATGTTAATATGAGACGAAGCTTGCGGATGTCCAGCTTGGAAGGCTTCGCGTTCAGAGAATGGTCGACCATGTCGCGGATCTTTCGATTCTGCATTTTTCGCCGCTGATTGAATTTCCAATTGCCTTCGATCTTTTGTGTCAATGTTTTTTTTTGCGATAAAAGCGCATGTAATCGTACAGACACATGTTGTCTAACGATCGAACAAACGACGTGATTACACAGATTTTAACACACACACAAAATGTATATTCTAATTATTGGATCCTTCCTTTTAATTTTCTCACACACTACAGATACAGTACATCTTTCTCTCCTTACAAATTATTAACAGAATACAGTCAGAAGAAACTCATTTACTCAAAAGGCCTCAGGAAAGGAAGCAAGTAAGGAAATCTCGTTCATATCATAGCAGAGAATTGACTCAATGGAGGTATGTCGCTACACCACGAAACACATTTTTCCAAGACCGAAACATAATCTACAAACCGTTTAGACATACGCAACCCTCTTATACTCATCTCACTATCTCTCCACATAGTTCTATATGAATTCAAATTCGCCTGTTCGAGAAGTAACCTTCCATCGATTGACTCTGACAAGGCAAAAAGGTATCTCTCCCAATAGGCTACGCATCTGTTCTCTAATGATTTTTCATTGAATACAAACGCATAAAACAGATCATCCCATTCTAAATGAAATGATATACGTTTTAAACATGTAAAATAAAAATGCGGTAGATCGTTTCTCTGTTTAACAGTGAAAAGTGGAAAGATCGCAAATAACCATGTAAACAGCGGTAACACAAAGCATGAAAACAAAGTTCTTCTAAGTTCGTATGAAGTTGTATTATGAAAACGAAAATATTTAATCATGTTTATTCGCTGTCTAATTTTTTCCTGCGTTTTTTTTGATCATCATACCGCAACGTATTTTTTCAGTGATGTGGTATCCTAGATATTTAAAGTTTTTAACCCAGCCAATATCATTGCCACCACAGGAAACTTTAGGTAGAGGATTTATAACTGCTCTAGCTGACCACATACTTATTGTTTTAGAATAGTTTATGGGTTGGAGGTGTAACAGAGAGCATAGTTCTAAATTATCAAAAAATGGTTTTAATCTTTTTTCTAAATCGATGCATTGTTCGGTATACTTAACCCCTATTCTGCCAGCTAGAACTGCAGCAAGGTCATCTGCAAAAAAGAACGGAATGCACACGTCCAGAAAATCACCCATGTCTAAGTGAAAAGTAATAAAAATTGTAGGTGTAAAACACGAACCCTGAGGACCTCCTCTTCTGATATTAAACCATCTAGATCTTACTCCTTGGATTTCTATAAAACCGTGCCTATTTTCTAACCACGTCCTAATCCATTTTAAGTAAGAACGAGGAATTCTCATTCTTCTTAATTTAGCTAAACATCCTTCTATCCACATACGATCAAAAGCGCTTTGAAAATCTATAAAAACATTAGCGACCGGGGAGAAGAATTTGACATTAAAGAAGATACTTGTTCAATAAAAAGAAGGACTCTCGTTTGAAGGCGAAAACCTGGTCTAAAACCGAGTTGTGAGTCGGGTAAAAGACCACGTCTGTCCAACAATCTTCGAAAACGGTTCGTAAACAGGCGCTCATTAACTTTTAGAAATACGTCTAGCAATGATATCGGGTGAGTCTCGGCTGGAGTCCAAATAAATTCTTTTTTTGCAAGTTAGATCATTCGCACATCTTTTCAGGCAGTAGGTTGAATCGCGGTCGAAAACGAATAATTGAATGTTTTGAGTAGTAGGAACCAATAGCTACTAGGCAGAAAATGGAAAACAAAATTTGAAATTCTATGTGGATCACGCGACTTTTTCTTTTTAAGCTTATGAACGATTTCTAAGACTTGTTCTATTGTCGCCTCTGTTATTGCCTCGTCATAATTATCGAAATCAGTATGAGGAGCATCCAAAATTGGGTGCGGCCGAATAATCTCTTCAGGGTTCGGCTCTTCAAAATGTTATTCGTAAAAATCAGCAGCAAAAGCTGCCATTTTCTTAGCGCCCTTAATTAACTCTCCATTCGGATACACCAATGCCTTTAACGAGGCAGATTTTCCCTTAAAAAAACTTTTTGTTTTAGACCAGAAGGCTGTAGAAACTGGGGTGGATGTATGACGTTTTGAGAGACTGTATGATAAACGCGAACTCATAAAAGATTTTAATTCGTATTTCGATTCATTTCTTAGTCGATTCACTGCATTTTTTAAACTTAAATCTCCAGTACGTTTCTGTCTAAATAAAAGCGCACGAATAAGTGAAAAGCGAGCTCGCAGCTCTTTTGGGATTGCTATCCGATGTTTTTCAATGGGAAAATATGTGATGCAGCGAGCTGAAAGAAGAAAAAGAAATCGTTTATAATCATTATAAACATTGTCTAAATTATCCGAATTCCATAAGGCTTCCCAAAAAGAATAGACAACTGACAAGAAAAAAGAAAAAAAACTTTAAAATGAATACTTCTGCACTCTTTTATGACTTTTGATTTAATAGCAATAGATGAAATTATAGGTTTATGATCATTTGGTGTTGTTCCTTCATAAGTTTGTAAATCAACAGAAAATCTGGAAGGTGTGGGTGTGGGTGTGGGTATTGATGTTCTCTATATCCACATCCACACCCACCCACACCCCTCCCACACTCACATCCACACCCACACCCTTAATCGATAATTTTTTTTCATTTTTGATTAATTAGAGTTAATTTATTTACAAATGAACATGATCGAGAAATACGGAGAAAAGTTCATGTTCAAAAAGATGTTCAGCATATGATAATACTATACGAACACATTTAAATGATCCTCCTGGAAAACTATTCGTTATATTATTATAATATATTAATTTATATGGATATGTGTAACTTTGACATTGACCATTTTTTGCTTTTAGAAAATAATCAACACAATAAATAACTTACTTATGTATAATATTTATGAATGTCTTTTGAATATATTTATTTTGGTGGCAAATCAATTTCATTCTGAAGACGAATACTTGAACGAATATGAAATATAAATTTACTTAATTGTAGGATATGATTGATGATATTTTTGTTAAGATCATTATTATAAATAAATGTTTTCTTTTCTGTCAACTATGAAACATCAATCAAGTTCTTCTAAATTTGAAATTCGATGTAGATATGGTACAATTAATTCATGATAATCACTTGTTTCCATATTACTATACAGTGAAAAAGATCTTAGATTAGGTAGGTTTTTCTAGAGATATAATATAAATAATTCATTTAAATTAATTAGATATTAATTCAAAATAATCTACCTTATTATTAATTATTAACTCTGTACGCTAAATATGTCATTCTAATAGATTTGAAAACATAACAGTTGGAGATGAAGTATCAGATTTATAATCGTTGATAGTGAATCAAAGGAGCAAAATTGAAAGTATCGTAAATTAGTGAACATAGCAAAGATATATGTATATATAATTTCATGTTTCATGAAATTTCCTTCGTAATTTTTACTAAAGTAAATAACAAATGATAATACTTGATTTTTGAAAATAAAAGTGAAAAATGTTTCATCTAAACAAAGAAAAGATAAAAAATGATTCAGAAAAATATTTTATTAGATTTTATCTTGTTATATAAATTTAAATAACAGTTCTGGTTTTTTTTGTCTTTTTTTAATAAACCTTCAATTTTGCATATTAGATGTTTTTTCTTAAATAGACTGCTATTCAATGAATTTAAGATGTTCATTTTTCCTTTCATATATAAACAAACATACGAAAACGAATGACCTTATGGATGTCATTTTGAATATCTATATTCGATATTTTCATTTAGATTGAAATTAAACATTCCAAGACAATAAATCATCAGCAATGGGTAATCATTGATTATCAATAAAGAAAAAAAGAATTTTTATTTGAAAAGATTTCTAATGACAACTTTCTTTTCATTCATATTGATAAATAGATATTAATAAAATACGAAATCGTTCTAAGGTTATTAAAATATGTAATTATCTAATTACATAATATTATAAGCTGATTCACATGAATCTATTTCATGCATAGCTTTAATGCATTTATCATTGAAAGAGAATCCAAATCGAATATTTTACCAGAAAAAAGATAAATAGCTCTTGCTTTTTCAATATTATATAAACAAANGAACTTCCTTTGAAGATTTCGATTTTTATAAATTTTCTCTTGATGAGGACCATTATAACGTGCAGTTTTGGGTGTTTTAGAATAAGTATACTGATCTTCATTCATAGGAGTATCCATATCTTCATCATCAGATCTTGATCTTGCAACTTTTTGCCGACGTTGCTGTTCAAGTCTTTCCATGTTTTTAAGTCCGACTTGATCTTGTTTTGGATCACGCAATGGCCTTGTTGTTGCACTCATATTGTCGTGTATCTTTTTTATGAAATAATATTGATAAAATTTACCAAAATTGTACCAAAATTGTAAAAATTGATATAAGAAGTAGCTCACATGTACACGCACCTGGCACGTATATGTACAGAATGAGAGAGAATAATAGGTACAAAAAAAAATACGTCCGATCGCTATGAAGGCAGGAGGAGGAATGAGTTATCACATTGATAGCTTATCATAGTTCGACTTATGGATGACACTATACTTGGTGTGGATCAACAAATCAGCAATACACACCCACATCCACGCCCGCAAAACCATGTAAAAACATGCTATCAAATATAATGCCCCGAATCTCATTTGAAGTTCACACCGTCAAAATCCTTTGATAAATGCTTGCGTATGACCTTTGTGGATACATTATCTCCGTTGTCTTTCATAACACGGGAGCGATTTTTCCAGCATAGAGAGAGCTCGGTTCGGGTTACAAAACTGTATATTTTTCAAAGTAAAAAAATATTGACCAAAGCTTCAACAGCAAGGCAAACTACTCTTGAAACATCATTTTTTTTACACTTTTTTTCATCTTTCCTGAGAATGTTGTCGTGAAACGTTGTGGTTCACTCTGCAATCGCTATCAGTAGATCGCTCTCGGTGAGATCTCCATTTTGACATAAAAATATCGTATCAAATAAGTGGAGAAAAGTATGGGTGGATCTGAGTGAAAATTTAATTCTAGCGACTAGCAACGCCCACACACCCACACCCATCCCTTATTTATACTCAGTTTTTGATACTGATTCTGAAAAAAATATTTTCCGAAGTTGAAAGAAAGAACGGAGCGGAAAATTTTGCATATTCTGAAACAGTTGTGTTTTTCGAGAAAAAACGACTTCCTTCACGTTTTTCGTATTTTTCGACCTGAAGACAGCATTTACTAATGGTAAAAAGTAGTTTTCCGTGATCAGCAGTTCACACTCTACCAAATGATGTAAAAAAATGGCAAAAAAAATTTTACTTGAAGTTTGAATTGCCTGCACCTTATAGAATCACCTGAACAAGCGCTTGACTTACCGATACTTTCACTAATAATTGACAGATAGTCAAGGGCAGCAGTGCACAATCTTTTTCATTTTTCTTCGCCTATCTCTCTCTTCCATAAACACAGCAAGCAAAAAATTACAGATACATCCCAGTGAGTACCGTGCAGAGCGACAACAACACAAGCACGCATTATTCTCTAATCACCAGTGTCGCCTTTTCGCTCTGAATGGCATCGAACGAAAACTATTGGATTTGGATCGGAGTTGCCCATCTCTGTAATTGTTTCATTTAGGATTTTTGAGATGAACATGGGCAATTTCATACAACCACGTGCGTTTTGAAGCACATCAAATCATTAAAGATATCTGCTTCTGTTTGTTGCACGTGGAGGATGCGCAGCAAATGGGTAGAATGAGAGAAAGAAAAAAGCTGAGAGCCGTCCTTTTCGTTCGTTTTTGTACGAAGCAACGATATTGTGCACTTATTGATCGGTAAGCTTTTATTTAAACGAAAGGTAAGACGTCAATAGTCATATTTTGCAATTGAATAGGATAAGTTTTGTTCTGAAGATGCAAAAATCGATTTAACATCTAAAGAGTACAATTTCTCTAGCGAGAAGCCAACGTGGGATTGAAAACCCATCGCCCAACTCGTTTATATTAAATCTTTATTTCAAATTCGAGTATTAATTGATCCACAATTTGACCTGAATGAGTCATCAAATAATCATAATAATACTTGTTTGTATTCTAACATCTAAATGTTCTCGCATTTAAATCCATAGATAAGTTATAAATGAAGAGCAAATAAAACTTTTGAATTGTAAGAGGTTGAGCTTAAAAGTGATCCAACTAATACGTCAAATTTTTTTAGTTTTTGTATAATTCCACAGAAAAGTATCATTTCAAATAAATATGACTGACTGATTTTATACGTCGAATTGGATAACTACTCTCCCGATATGTAATCTACGAATTTTACAAAATACTTTCTGTGGGTTAGCTAGCAAACTAAACTTGACTCTCTATGGACAAATGTTTTTTCAAGAAATGTTTTTCAGTTAAAGGCAATCATGAAGTCTTCTTTTTAAAGTATTTTCTGTCTGAGATTTATATTCCATTGGTCCCAGACATAATAGACATATAGACTATTCGACATCTGAAACACTCAGTTGTGACAAAGTTCAATCCGCTGAATTGATTTCCGGGTAGAAGAAAGAAAGTTTTCTAGTTCAAATTCATGGTATGTGTGAAGACCCTTTGAAATTCCCAAATTCTAAAATGGTCAATTTGAATTTGACACTACCCGGCAAATTAATGAAATAGGTGAATCAATCAGTATTGCTTCTTCGCCTCTGAATTATCTTACCAGTTAAAATAATAGTTACCCAAACTAATCTCGTTCTACTTAGGTTTATTGGCATCATTACACAATTGGATAGATGACGGCGAACGATCATGGACACGTGAGTAAGTAAAAGCGATTAATTCAGACCTCTAAACCAATTTCGTATTAGACAATCTTGATAGGAGACAGATAGATGCTCTTAAAAGCTGCTGGATAGCTCTTATCGATGCCATCAGTAATCAAACTTCGTTATCAGCCCTGGATATTGTCGACTCTGTTCTCGGAGACGAATTATTTTGTTCCATCGGTTATGATAATCCAGATGCTCTTTTGCTTCGATGGCTCCGTGCGCGTAAGTGGGACATCAATGCTGCTGTACGGTTGTCGATGGACGCGCTCACTTGGCGACACGAGTGGGGACTCTATGCACTTGCAGCCCAAGGTGAAAGTGAACTTTGCGACGACGAAATCAGAATGGGTAAGGCCTATTTCATGGGTCATGATAGAGTTGGTCGTCCGGTTACCTATGTTTTTCTCAAAGATCACATCAAAGGTCAGTTTCCTGAAGAGACCACCGAGAAGTTGATCGTTCTGGCTGTAGAAACGGGCCGTAAACTACTTAAAGTACCTGTAGAAATGATCACGCTTGTTGTCGATGTAGCCGGTTTCGGTCTAAAAAACGCGGACTATCGGTGTGCCAAATTGAGCATCCATCTACTTGAGCACTATTATCCAGAATCGATTGGTCTTATACTCATTGTTAATGCCTCTTGGCTATTCAGCAGTTGTTGGAACATAATCAAACCGTGGTCAGATTCCGCCGTACAAGGCAAAATTCACTTCCTCAAGAGTGACACCGAACTCACTGAATTCATTGAGCCATCTGCTCTTCCCAAACGACTAAACGGTAGTCATTTCGATTTTGAGTACATCCCGCCGACTACTGAAGACGAAGACATGCTAGTCGCCTTCCGTGCAGATGATCAGGGCAAAAAAATGGCCGAAGCAGTTCACCACGAAGCTGCCAGAAACTATCTCAGTCTAACTCTTCGATGGGCTCATGGTGACGAGAATCGACGTTTACTAGCAAAAAGGGCATAGGCTATGAAGCAACTACGAGACGCATTTGAAAAGCGTATTCCTTATACAAGCACTCGAACTCACTATCACCGTACTGGAGATATCGACGAGCCCATCTTTAACGTCACATACGATAGACTTCAAGCCAACAACAATCCACAGATTACGAACTTTTAAATAACTATTATTTCTATTGGACACTTGTTGTTTTGTAGTGAAAAAACTCTATTCTTCGCGCTTGTTCGTTCAGGTTGAATTGAACAGGAAAAAATTTGTATTGTATCCTAAGTGGTAAAAGTTTCTTCACGAAGACAGAAAAATTCCTTGCTTTACAGATTTCTATCCTCTCAAACTTTACTTCAAGTTAGACATATCGGGTAGTCCAGATTAAGTGGTGGTCTTCGTATGTCGTCCAATATTTCGTTTAGTTGTGATTGCTTACACTTGAACTTTTTTCAAAAGATTCTCCGTTCAACTCTCTACAAGAGTGTATAAAGACGTTTCTTCTCTAATAAAAATGTGAAAAATTGAATTAATAATATTGTACTGATCCAACATGACCAACTTTCTAAAGCTTTTTTCTAACAAATAACTCAGATTGTTTTCTATGAGTGGTTAGACAATCAACAGGATATTGTTATTAATTTCGTTAGAGAAAACTTGACAAATTTGAACAATCGGGATAATATATGTCATGAGAAAAAACATGCTAACGTTTTCAATATCCAATTTTATGAGTATTTAAAAAAACGTTCACGTATATACCCAGGACGAGCATTACGATACTCGTAAACGATCGTACACAACGTCGTATGTGATCGTGTACGGCCGTATTTCGCTGTATTACTTGCCGTTAGAATTACAACCGTATACCGTCGTGTCGTATTCGACGAAATACGACGTGTATAGGACCACTATAAACGATCGTACATGGTCTTATAAGTATTGTTTGTCATCGTGTCCTACATAAAATTTTCGTATGTCCCACCCCTCCTCCCTACTATCCCAATGATGCCAAACTAATAAACGGGGCTGTTCAGTCTGGCTGGAGGTCCCAATTCTTTTTTCTTATCCAGCATTGATGACATATCAAAAAAATATAATTGTTTTACGAGTTATAGTACTATTGAGACCTCTAGTCAGACTGGACACTCCCATTTATTTAAATTAATACTTACCCTTGGACTTATCTTTGTAATTAATCTAAAAGCTAAAAACAAATATTCAAATAAATTAATACTTGTGGTTCAATTTATCATTGTACATAATCTAAAAATAAAAAAGAGTTTATTTAAATTACTCAATACTTACCCTCGGGTTTATCGTTGAACGTGATCTAAAACTAAAACAGTATTTATTTTAGTAAATTAATATTTAGTGTTAAATTTGTCGTCGTGTATAATCTAAAAATAAAAATAAAAATAATTTTTTTCGAAAATAACATTTACTGTACCATCCACGACAAGCATACACTTATTTATGAAATCTTTCAGGACAGCTTTTTGGTAGCATAGTTTTTGTATGAAATATTTCTCTGACTAGTTACATAAAAGTATATGCGACAACTAACACATAAGTTATTCTACAAAATCGAGTATAGAAAAAAAAGTCAAGATGCATATGAGTGAAGAACACAGGCATTGTACTGTTGTCTTCCGAAAATGAAAATGTCTATAAGTCAACGTCTACACATTCGATTTTAATAATCTTTTTTTGTTTTATTGATCTTGAGATGATCATTGAGTTCTGAAACAACCAAGTTTCTATCTGCTCTAATTTGTAGGAAATCATAGCGGCAGATCAAGTGCATCGCTTCTGGCTCTATCTGTTGGAACTTAACCAATATCTCTTTTGTGGAACTCACATATATTTTCGAAGAAAATATTGAGTGCAAGTTTTAAGGCCAAGTTTTCGTGGCTCCCCTCTTCATTAGAGACACTTAGCAACGGAAGCTCTCATTAAAAACACCTCCCGTCCCATTACAGATCATAGCAACTCCACAAAAAAAAAGGAAAAACTTTCTGTTCAAAGTATAGAAATAAAAAAGACAGCATTTGCTGACAAACGATTATCATTAGAAAAGAACTATCGTCTTTTAGAGAACTTAAACATTGTGTATTTTATCATTAGTATAATGAAACTAAAGAAGATATGTGAGTTCCACATTTCAGCCCCAAAGGGGTTGGGTGTGAGTTGTAAGTGCGAGTCTGTGGGTTGGGGTATAGACGAAATCCATACCCGCACACAACATGCATACTCATGCACGCCCTGCATAGATTTCGTTCTGATCACGCAAAGTTGGTTACCTTTCAAAATTGCTGAAAGCAGATTAAAGATATTGATTGGTAAGTGTAGTCAAATGATCTTTATTCATAACTAAGTAGATCAATCGAGCAGCTTCTGTAAAATAACATCAAGTTTTCGTTGAAAGTGCTTCATTTCAGCTCTTCTATGGAAATGTTTTCGAAAAGATTTACCGTGATATTGTTCAATTGACATCATGTTAATTTTAATTTAGACGACTGATTCATTGTTTGAAAAATGCGAAACATTCACAATTATTTGTGAAAAGATGAACTTTGTTTAAAAAGAATCTTTTCAATTGGTAATCATTTTCACTCATTCCCAATTGGTATTGATTTTTATTAAAATTGCACATTGATCGATATTCTATATTCATTTGGTACATAGGAGAAAGTTCAATATGTTATGATACTGTAATAAATCAATAGACCAGAGAAACTAGCATGAAACTCCTACAGTATCTGTTCGGATAAGTAAAATATCCAAAGTTTAGACAATTCGAAAAAAAAAACATTTTAGGAAACCTTTTTGTTGCTTATTTCACATGAATATGTCGACTTGTTGAAGAAATACGAATATTCACCTATGCCAAGTCAAAAGATAATATGGAGTAGACAACATGGCTCCTAACAGGGTGAAAAATTTTCCCCTGTGTCCTGCCCTGTCCTTCGATTGTTCTCCTCTGCCATGTCCTGCACTGTACTGCCCTGCTCTGTCCTGTCAAAAAAAACGCAACCGAGTGGCAATTTTCTCTGAAAATATTTTGCGAATAATTGAATGTATTATAGTCTTTCTTTATTTGTTCCATTTCAAAAATACTGTAACATATAGAGAATGAAAATGTTTTCTTTTTTACACTAACCAATAATAGTTTCACGCAAAAAAACACACAAGTGAACAAAACCAAAAATAAATTTTGAGTGAATAGAGCGCAAGCCACATGAAAAAGTTTCCCAACAAATTAGTTTCAAACCGATTGTTTTCCTCATTACTAAAAATAGATTAGAGTGTACGATTTCAATCCAATTAAAGTCGAATTTTTTAGATAAAAACGTGGATCACTCCAATTTTTCGGAATTTTTTATATGCATTTTGATCGATTAAAAATTACTATTCTCTTTTATTAGACTAATTTTAGACAGTGGTGTGGAAACAGATTGGGTGATACCACTTGAAGGTGAAACAATATTTAAGAAGACATATTCGAAAACAACAATGCAAAAGTAGATATAGTAACCTAATCTATACGTAGAATAGCATTATATTCCATCAAACAAAGATGAATTGTTCAATCGACTCACATTAAAATGCGTTGCTGAATTCATAATCCAATCGAAATCTCGCACTAGAATTTCGTCTCTGTAAAGAATAGCCAGCAGCGACACCTTTTAGGTTTACGGTTTCGAATGAAAGGGGACAATTTTCAGTGCAACTCGTGCAGGACAAGTAATTGAAACATGTCCCCTATCCTGTTCTGTCCTGTTAAAAATTCTGAAACTGCCCTGTCCTATTCTACTCTGTTAAAATTTTAGAAATTGTCCTGTCGCCCTGTTATCTCCTGTAATATCCTGGAGGGTACCCTGTTCTGCTATGAGCCCTGGTAGACAATATCAGAACACTTGTTNAAAGGGGAGTTAAAACGATACCTAAAATACCATTAAAGTATATCGAAAATAGCATCAAAATGTTCGTCTTGTTGAGATCTATTGATCTGTATAGTTTCCAAAGCGATTCCTTGAAAAAAATTCGATGGGCCGATTTGTGGTCTTATGAGCCCTCCTCCTTTGTTATTCGAAAAATAAAAATAAAAATGCGTTCATGCCTACCTTTATACATTCTGTCATAACTATTATTTGAAAATCAATGGTGAAGCAAAACTAAAAAAGTTGAAGCTTAAAGACAAGATTTTGAACTATTTTCATAGAAAGACTCATGAATCTTAATTACAATTCCAGAAATTTAACGCAGTGAGCATCATTCGAGAAAAAGCTGAAGACTTTTACTAGAAAAGTCAAACTTCATTGAAAAAAAATGCAAGTCTCTCTGGATGGAAACAGTAACCGCGAGTTGTACTCAACATAATTATATTAAAAGAGAGAAAACGAATAAAAATGTTTTCACTAGCACTGATACATTCTGTTCATTGACTTTCATCATAATCGCTAAGGAATGTTGACGATCTGTGCAATACTATAATCTATAGTCAGTTTCACAAAGACACGAAAACATAGATATCAGAAAACTTAGAATATTACACAGAAAATTAGTCATAATCATACTGTGACGTTCTTTTCTGTTGTTAAAAAATCCCTGTTTGTTGGGCTCGCAATCTCAAAAAATGATTCTTGAAGACGATATGGATGTGTCTTACCTAAACTGACACCTTCGAAACATTTTTTGTATGTTTTTGGGGTCATAGAACGTGTCCTATGAGAAGAAAAAACTCCATTTCTGAGTATGATCATCGCTCAAAGTCACATTTGATAGAAAAAAATGATATTATCAAGAAAATGGCACGTTCGAATAAATAACAAAGAAATTAAATAGAAAGAATCTGCACTTTAGAATAGTAGTTTTATCAGCATTTTCTTCTCTCTCTAAAAATAAAAGTAACACAGACGATGTTGTCAAATCTTGAGCTATATCATAATTTCTAGTAAGTTTAGAAAACAGATAAAAAAAGCCTGATTAGATTTTGAAAGCAAGACTTAAGTTCAACTGTTTATTTTAAACAATCTGTTTGGATGGCAAAGAGTTGAACAACATCATAGAAGTACTTTTCATCACCATTATCAAAGTAATCAATACTAACTTTTGAAATTATATAGACCTGTAAGGAGACTTGAAGCATCTCAAATTCTTCCGAAGATGTTGGCTATAGTAGCTATCTTGGTTTTAATGGTCACTCCCATATATGGTCGAATTCTACTGTACAATACAGAAAACAAAACGACTGTTGAAAAATTTGATTGTGTTTACTATGTAACTGATGATAGTCAAGAAATTCCATATTGTCAACGTCCAAGTGCCAATCAACATATCGATAGAAATTTGAATGAATGCCAGAATCAAGGTGAGAGAATACTATTTCATGATCTAATCAGCAAGGACATCGAACCAAATGAGGTTCTCAGTTGGAGTTCAAGCATTGAAAATAGCTGATATTTATGCCAGTATCTTTTATAATCAATCGTTAATTGAAAATAATGATCATCAATTTGTCTGCAAATGTATCAAGCCTGGAACATTCGGAAAGTATTGCCAGTATCAATTGACACATGATGTAACAGCATTTAGTGCAGCCATCAATATTCAATTTAAGCAAAAGGAAACTGGCGATCCATGGAATACTCAAAAATATGGAAAAATTCTTTGCTATGAAACACTGTCTTTGCAATCCTATAAACTCTGTCTCGATTGGCGAGATATTTGCGATGGTAATCCACAGTATGTCAATGGTCTTGATGAAGAAAATTGTGACAAGTTGGAATTCAATGAATGTGAAGATGATGAGTTTCGATGCACAAATGGTATGTGCATTCCGGAAGAATTCTGGCTTGATGGTTAGTATAGTTGAATATTTCTATGATATATATATCACTTCCTTTTAAAGGTGTTTATGATTGTATGGATTGGTCTGATGAATATAATATTGATTTAGGACAATCATGTTCTTTCCAAGCAAAATCTATTGAATGTGATGAACATTTGTGTCATCCGAACGCGTACTCATGCGGTGATGGACAATGTATTGAATGGTTCACTCGACTCGTATTTCAACGGGAAGTCTCACCAGGAAAGGACTGTTATAATAAACGAAATCTAAATTTTATGTGTGAGGCAAGTCAAGATCAACCTTCTTGGACATTAGAAGATGGATTGTATTCACGAGAGAAAGGTTACGATGATTTGCGATATCCACCGTTTCATATGATGAATTCTTCAAAATTAACTTCTAACGAAAAATGTCAATACCTATTTCAATGCATTTTATCAAATAATTTCGAGCACGATTGTTCTTGTGATCAGTTTAATTGCTCACAAATAATGATGCATTTTTGCTCATTTAATTTGCTGATTTTGTATCCTCCTCGAGGATTGATCAACGACAATTTAGTGTCCATCTTCATCTATTATGATTTCGAGAAGAAATCACTTGTTAATTTAGTCGGCGTCACTGGTCAAATCAAATGTCGAGGATATCACTTTAGTACTATTAAGACGGAATATTTACCTCTTGCACTTGTATTTTCAATCCGTCATATGCATTACTTTCTTTGTGCCATAAGTGAATATATATCAATGGCTATCGAGATAATTCATCACGTTTTCAATATGAAAAAAATTGCTGGAATGAATTTCGAACATTTAATGATCGACCTTATGCTGTTTTTTTCTGGTGTGTGCAATACAAGTCGAGAATGTATTTCACAATATCGAATTCATAATGGATATTATGACTGTATTGATAAAGAAGATGACTTCAAACATTTCGAGAAAGACTATTGTACTGGTAACGTTAAACGACACCGTTTTCAAAGTTTTAATAATGAACACAAATGTCTATCAATTTCATATTTGGGTTCAGGAAAAAATGAATGCTCAAACGGTTATGATGAAATATGGTACGATACTGGTAATGCTATTGCACAGGAAATCAATTGTAATGAAGAAAACGATGCAGGTTGTGGTCGATTAAGAGAGTATATTCGATTGTCATCAATCAGCAATATTTCATTGCTTGAGCGTCAAGACAAAATGTCAACTCATCAAATATCTTTTTATGTATATTGCAATAGTTTCTGGAATCTCAATAATCACATCGATGAATCGAGTTTTGCATGCAAATATTGGACATGTCAACATTATGAATATGAATGTCAAACCGGACAATGTATTCAACTTGATTGGGTATGCGATGGTGAATGGGATTGTGCAGATGCATCTGATGAAGAAGCTATTGTACTCATCAATACTTGGTCAGCACACAATGCCAACCTTTCTGGTTTGAATAATAAAGTGATGGAATGTCGTAAACGATACTTTCAATCCCCATTTTCTACCAAATGCAATACTTCATTTGAATATGGATGCTATCGATCAGGAGTATTAAATCCATTGGACATTGACTCTTATCGACCATGCATCAATCTTACTCAGATTGGTAATAATGTCGAAGATTGTTACGGTAGTAATGACGAAAAAAAATACATTGGAAGTTAATTCTCGTATGTTAGGCTTCGGGCTTGTCTGTGGATTAATTTATTTACAATATACAGCTGCTTGTCTTTATTCTCCGTTCGTTAATTGCACAAAAATTCTCTGTTCAAATCATCGTAATGAAGATGGAACATGTTCTGGTATATATGATTTTATTTGTCTACGAACCAATGTTTGCATGAAGAATGTTCGATGCAACAGTAAACTTGACTGTCCTGATGGAGAAGATGAATACTGGTGTGACTCGAATTTATTTCAAAATCAATTACATTATCGTTCCAAAAAAGAGGATGCATACTATAAAATGCAGAAACCAATGCATTTTTAAATACTTTCCAACTATTGATATAAACGTATCAAATGAATCGATACACTTAAATTCAAACAATACCATTCGAAATGACCGCTTATTCATTCCTTATTCGTATCAATGCAATCAAGGTGTTGCCATTCTTCAAGTGAATGCAACTCGATGTTTATGTCCGCCAGCTTATTATGGTAGCCGGTGTGAATTTTTCAGTGATCGAATCAGTGTTATTACACATGTCGCTCCGAACATATTATCAAATATCACACTAAAAATCAAAGCCAATTTTCTATTCAAGAAAATAATTATCGATCATCATGTATTTCATGTTATTCCAATAACTGAAGATGTCAAGATTTTTAAGTATAAATTCTATTTTCTTTATACACGATCTAATCATATGCTTGCATATAAAAGACAATGCTATTTCGATAGAATGGATGTGATTCATAATCATCCTTACTCGGTACACTTTGATGTTTTTTCACTTGAAACAAACAACACTATTCAAGAACTCGGTTCTTGGTATTATCCAATTTATTTTGATTATCTACCTGGATTTCGTTTGGCCGTTATTTTGAGATTTCCATTCTGATTTGGAAATGAAACATATAATCCTTGTTTGAAAAACAACTGCAATGAGAATTCGACGTGTATGCCGATTTTCAATCAAAATAACTCCTATTATTGTTCATGCAACAGTGGATTTTATGGAAAATATTGTCAAATGTATGAACATCGTTGTGAATCATATTGCTCTTCTGATGCACTCTGTAGATTCGATGATATCAATATAAATGATCCTCATTGCATTTGTCCACTAGGTCGATTTGATCCACGTTGTTATTTGAAATATGATGATTGTCATTCGAATCCATGTTTGAGTGATGGAACTTGTCATTTGACTTATGATATAAGTGGTGAAAGATCTTATTTGTGTACTTGTTCAAAAGGATACTTCGGAAATCGATGTCAGTATAAGAAATTATCTGTTACTATCGATTTGAATATGCCACAAGTGTCATCAGCTCGTGCCACAGTACTTCAAATTTGTAATATTAATGAAGACTCATTAAACTTGAAATATCAACAAGTCTATTACGATATGCCAAAAATGGTTCTCTATGACCAGGATCAGATTATGCCGCCCATTCTTGGACTTCTTAAAATTTATCAAGATCTATTAGATCCACATTATTTTATTATGTACTTACTAGATCAAATAGTAACCAATTTTTCTTCGTCTCCAAGACATTGTCCACATGCTTTGTCCCTATTATTGAATGATGAAATTTTTCACAAAGATATCAATCCATCGATTCCAGCCATCTTCAAATATCATCAGATCTGTCAAAATGATACTCATCGCTATTGTTTTCACGATAAAAACTATCTGTGTATCTGCCAATATGACCAATATCATGTGGATTGTTATATTTATGATACTCAACTAGATCATTGTGATAACTGTCTATCTGAAGGAAAATGTCTTCAAGGCGATCGAAAAAATTCAAACGACTTTATTTGTCTTTGTCCATTTTGTCATCAAGGATATCGATGCGAATTCAGCTTGCAGGCATTTGGCTTCACTCTCGATTCCCTTCTTGTCGGCTACACAAAAGATGTGAAAATCATCTATATCTCAATAGCATTCATTATTGTCTCTGTTGGTTTCTTCAATAATCTTTTTTTATTCATCACATTTAAGCGACCTAAACCTCGAAAGTTTGGTGCAGGCAACTATTTATTTGCGGTCGCATGCGTCAATCAATCTGCCTTGTTCTCTCTACTTTTTAAATTTATTCAGATCACTCTTAATATTTCACATTTGGAAATGTGCAAAACAGTTTCCTATTTTCTATCTGTATTCACACGATCGACTTATTGGTTGACAAGTTGGATTAGCATTGATCGTTTTCTTATTATTCTTTTTCCAACTTCTCGCATGTTGAAAAGTCCTCACCAAGCCATTGTAATATGTATTATTACATTAATTGTCCTTTTCAGTATGCATGTGCATGAAATCGTTTACTACACAGTCATTGAACATCTTGCCAGCAATTCATATATATGCGTGGCAAACCTCAATAGTGGTTTGGTTTCAGCGTATAATCGTGTTTCGACTCTTATTCATTATCTCTTTCCATTTTTTGTTCAAGTCATTTGTATCACTCTTCTAATTGTTCTGGCTGCACGTAGCCGACGGAAGACAGTTGACCAGATGATAACTTTGTTCAAGTATTGAAAAAACAATTTCGAACTCAGAAAGAACTTTATATTACACCCATGATCATTGTTTTCTCTGCTCTACCAGAATTAATTCTTACATTCAGTTTTGCATGTACAGAACTGACTTATTGGCAGCGTCATGCACTACTTAGTGCCTTTTTACTTTCGTATGTTCCACAAGTTCTTGGCTTTGTTCTCTATATTATACCATCGACTAGTTACAGAGCGGAATTTAGCAAAACATTTCTCGCCAAATCTTTTCACTCGTTGTTGAACAGAATAACAAATAAAAGTGAAAACTGATAAAACTCGAAGTTTATTATTTAAATCTCATCGAAAAAATCAAATGTAGAGGCATTTTCTAAAATAATGCGTTATGTTAGAGTTCTTCTACTTAATCGTATGAACTTCCGGTACACTTTGATTAATTACATACTAATCAGTGTCGTAAATACGAATTATACAGACCAATATTTATTTGACTAGTGTTTAAAAACATATAAATACATCATTCTTCTTAAGAATAATACTAACTGTTTGCTAATCGAAGCGAACAGATAATTTCGCTCATATGGATTAATAATTTGCAACTCGTATATGTCATCAAAAAGTTGCTCATCAACAAACTATATATTTCTTATCGCTTGATTCTTCGATAAACTAGCTATATTGATATTCAAACGAAATATCGAAGTTGAACAGAATTCAATGTTATACATATCACTATATACAAAAGCATTTTATGATATTTGAGCTGAGGATCTATAAATTCTTGTTCTTTTGAAATAGCAATCATCCCTATTCTGGACCGTATTTGCACTCAAAAAATTTTCTTTCTCGACATTCGCAGAATGATCTTAAGAACGACACATCGCCTGATACTTGTTCAAACTTCATTAGAGAAGTTAGAATGTATATATGTGCCAAATTTTATTTCCTTGTCAGTACGAGGGTGCGTGTGAGTGTTAGTTCCTAAGAATTGATCGACACAGCGAGATCATTGTAATTACTCTGTTCATGGTTCCTTTTCAATTCTAAGATATGTAAAGATTTTTCAGAGATCTTCTAAAAATCAGACGTTGACTATTCGTTTCATTTGTCTTTTCATATGTTAATATGCAGTCGAGTGTGGACTATCGATATGTGAAAACCATAAGTTTCTATCTCTCTCCATTCTAGAAGTTATTCAAACAACGATCACATCCCTCGCCTTTTGAAGTCGATAGTAGTATAATCGTCAGATATAGAAAAATAGAGCGTCGTTTTACTATCAATCCATATAGAGAAAAAGTTTCTTTAACTTTTTCTATAAGAAATTAAAACATCTCCATCACCAGTTGTGATACGCCCTAAGTATATACAGTAGGGTGCAAAAGTTCTTGTCCTCAGCATAACTGAACTTTTTGATGATAAATCTCTGGAAGTTTCTGAAATGATTTCTTAAGAAACTTCCAGTAGATGGGGACAGATATATATATATAGCTGTGAATAGCACGATTCGTCATAAACAATTTCTGTTTGAAAGAGAATGACTTGACAGCGATATCTTTCTTCGAGAAAAATGAACCGTTTGACCGTACTATATTTTTGGAGTAATGGGGAACGGTCTCCAACAAAAATTTCTCGTATTACGAAAATCTCACTTGGTACTGTTAAATATAATACTGCCAAGATTAAACAACAAGATACAGTCGAGAATAGGTTGCGAAGTGATTGACCCCATAAGGTTACTATTACAGACAACAAGACGCTTAGTTGATGGATTTGTTGAAATAACAAGACAAAGACAAAAAAAAACTGTCAAAGAAACTGTTCCACAAGCGAGCTGTGGATATGTCCCGATAGATGACAAAACATCAGCTCAAAAGAACAGGTTTATGAAAGTACTTTGCCTTAAGGAACACCAATGTTAATACAAAAACAGAAAGACGCACGTATTCAATGGGTAATCCTACCTAAGAAGACGAATGAAACGCAGCTATATTTACCGATAAGACCTTCAATCGATTATTTAGAAACATCGTTCGTCGATGATCACGAAATTCAAAAGCTGAAGTTAAACGAATTCCAACGAGTAGACAGACTATTTTAGTATGGGGTTGCCTCAGTATCAAGGATGTTCTCGACTATCATTCATCCACAACTATTATGGATGATCTGTACTACGCTCCTATCGTTCTGGATCATCTCATTCTCTATGCTAGAAAGCAGTTTGGTCGACGCTGGAGGCTACAGCGAGTAAATGATCTCAAGCAATTCTTAATTCAAGAAGTTCCGAAAATATTTGATTGACCATCAAGCAGTTCTATGTCAATCCAATAGAAGACATATGGTCGATCATCAACATTGCGTTGAGAAACAAAAACCGACAGATCTTAAAGAATTGGACAAGTTTTTTCATAAGGAACGGGAGAGACTCGACATGGATGTCCTAGTTAATTTGATAAAATCCACGAAATCTCGATGTTTAGCTCTTATTGAATCGAAAGGAGAAAGGATCAATTATTAAGTGTAATATTCCTGTACCCTACAATGTACGTTATCGTTGCACATATGCAGTTTTTGTATTCATCGTATCTACTCTAATAAACATTCGAAATACTGACGGCAAAAACTTTTGCACTCTACTGTATATATATTTCTATGATGTACGTCTCCGTCTTAACTTATATTGTAGTTATATTCTGAACATTCATTAATCTTTGAGTTAGATCAATTTTTATTTAACATCAATGACGATTCAATTTATGAATTTAATACAAGACTATGAAATAGAATAATAAAACAAACAGTACATCAGAAACAATGAGTATGTTAATGATTATATTTCTTTCCTTAACTTCTCAGCATTTAATGTACATTTTTGTTTTTGTTTAAAATTCATAGCAATCAATTTCAAAACTTGATATGATTAAAACGCAGTTCTGGTGATAATGTACTTTTTCGGTTGATTTTCCTTATATGTTAATTGATGAAGAATCTCTTTTTCAATACTTTATAACTAATGATTCATTTTTCTTTATTTTGAATTATTTTTCGGGTCTAAACACACAATACTATATATATATACAATACGGACAAAGAAAAAAACATAAACAAAACACATAACATGTATCTACAGAAAAGAAAACAAAGTATGCTAGTTTTAACCACGTGTATTGGCAATATTTTCTCGTTCATCAAATTGATTTAAATCTAATGTAAGACAATGACTAGTAATACAATCGCCGGGCTAAAATAAATTTCATTAACAAAAAAAAAATATTTTAAATTAACAAAATAAACAAAGAAAATTCGAATTTACCTCCGGATAGATACCAACAAGTGCATCAGCACGTGAATAAAATTGTTCTTTAAGTGATATAACAATACATTGAAATTCTGATGCAGATTGTTCACGAATAAAATCAGCTACTTTACCAATATTTGTATTATCAAGAGCAGCATCAACTTCATCAAGTAAAAAGAATGGAGCTGGTTTAAAACTAAAAAAAGATAAATAAATTCTTACATTCAAAAAAAAAAAAAAAAATTTTTTTCTATTTACCTTCGTAAAGCAAATAGAAGACAAATAGCTGCAACAGTTTTTTCACCACCTGATAAATTTTCCATAGCTTGAAAACGTTTTCCAGGTGCAACACAATTATATGTTATACCACCACGATAAGGTTCTTCAGCATCTTCAGCTGTTAAACAAGCAACAGCAGCTTGTGAATTTGTTAAAGATTTATAAATATCATCAATACATGTTGAAACATGTTCATAAAGTGCATTAAAACGATCATAACGTTCTTTTTTTATTTTTTCAAATGCTTGTCGTGCACGTTTAGCTGCATTACGTGCACGTTCAAATTCTGCATTTGTTAATTCAAATGTTGTTTTAACTTCACGTGAACGTGCATCTATAGCTGATGTTTGTGGTAAATGTTTTTGTAATTGTATTTCAATATCAGACATTTGTTTAATTAATAATTTTTCTTCTTTATCAACTTGTTCATAATTAATTTTTTTTAAATCATCACGTAAACGTTTATAATTTAATTCAAATTTATCTTCCATATCATAGATTTGTTTTGTATCATATTGACTTGAATAATTACCATCACCATTTGATATTGTTGATGAATCTGTTGTTGTTGTTAATGAGTTACCTTGAGTTTGAGTATTTACATCATCGGATGTAGATGTTTCAGCAAGTGATATAGCTGCCATTGAACCAGCATTACCACGAAATGGTAATGAAATTTCATTAAGCTAAGAAAATAAAAAAAAGTTGTTAATAGAGATGTGTGGGATCAAGTTTTTTACTTCTGATTTTAGAGAAAAACTATTCGAAAATTTATGTATTACATTTTAAAAAATTCTCCGATTTATTGTGTCCACGACTTGTAGTCATTTCTCTTAAATGATGTTCTGATTCGAAGAACTTTTATCTCCTAGTCCTGCACATATCTACAGAGTATCCCAAAAGTCACCTACCAAAAAAGAAAATTGCATATCTCCACTGTATTCTAACCAAATAAGCTGATTTTTTTTCTGATGATAGAGAAAACTTCCAAGTTTTTATTTATGTACCAGCAGCTTATTAACACACTTGAAACCTAGCATTATCTATTTCAATACTGAATTTGTCTTTTTTCCAGATACTTCTATCAGTAATCGACCACAAAAAAAACTGAAACGTCTCTGAAAACTTATTGGCAAGTTCTGCTTTGTAAAGTTTTCTGTGCCGATTATTTTGGTAAAAGAATTTTCTATTTTCATCAAGCAATGATAGTACTAGAGTCAAAATACTATAAAACGTCGCATTGCTGCTGCCAGCGCTATTTGACGTTTTCCAGTATTTTGACCTTAGTACCATCATNCAGGGATGGTCTTCTCAATAATGACAATTTTTTCGATAACTCAGCCATTTCTTGACAGATCCTGCTCATCTTCGAACTCGACCGAGACATTGTTAAGAGTGAACTGTGTAGAAAATTTCATCGTGATCGGACTCTCCTTTCAAAAGTTATCGTGTATACGGCCGGACGGACATACTGACCGATTCTAGAGTGTGCTCACTTTTTGAGTACACAATAAGTTTTTTTTTCTATGATTAATGAAGTAAATTTGGATCTGGACCCAAGTTTCATCAAAATGGATTATATGTAGAGAAGCCACATTCGACAGTACATGTTTGATTTTCAAGGCAATCTTTCACATTATCTGCACCGGTAAACATAACAGATTAATGTTTGAATAGCCTAATCCGAAGCTGAGCAATATACTAACTATCTGATTCCTACTGTATGAACATTTTTAATGCGTTCAAACTTTTAGAAAATATACAATTGTGACACTTTTTCTTCAATTCGCCTTCACTATCAATTCCTCAATGTCAAAAAAGCTAACCCTAATTAAGTATGAGTTGAAAGAGTTAATATTTTTACGTACTACGCCTGGAAATTGTTTAAGATTTTCAATAAGTTCTGCACGTCGTTGTGCACGACTTGTTTCATTTCGATCAGACTATTTAAAAACAAAAAAGAAGAATTTTTAAATATTATTGAAATAAAACAAAATAAATTCCTTACACGAGCTTCACCAATTTCTTTATTAACTTGATCAAGTTCTTCTTCAAGCTCAGTACAACGTCTTCGACCATCGGTTACTTCTCGTTCTAATAATTGTGCACTCGATTGTTTATCACTAAGTTCTCGTTCAAGATCACTAAAATAAAATTTATATTTTGATTATTTTTCAACAAAATAAAAATTAATTTTAGTTTTTTATTTTCTTTTACGTTATATAACCAGCTAATTTATCAATTTTTCCATTTAATTCTTCAATACGTAAGTCTGTTTGTTTGATTCGTGCAATATGATCTTTTTGACTTCGTTGTTCTTGTTCAAGATTGGTTTTATCAACTTGTTGTTGACGATCAATAGAATCATATTCTTCAGAAAATTGTGTCATTTTTTTCGATGCTTCTTCTTTTAAATATCGATATTCTTTCATCTAATAGTAAATTAATTTGTTTTTTTGTTATATTATTTTAACAGAAAAAAATAATAATAAAGATTGTTTTTCTTTTGTTTTATTTACTTGATTTTCTTCAAGTGCTAAATTACGACCACTACTTTGTGATTCATCTTGTAATTTATCTTCATATTCTTTTTGTAATCTTTCAACTTCACGTAAATCAGCTTCATATTTTTCGATTTCTTCATCATGAGCGGCATGAGTTTTTTCAGCAGCAAGAAGAGTTTTTCTATAAAAAAAGATCGAACGTAATAAATACGTATCAAAAAAATTATCATGATATTTGATTTCAACAAACAATCAAAATTAAGATTTTCTATACTAATTAATTTATGATTAGTAGCTACTGTTAGAATTCAGATTAGGTATTAATAATTTGATTTAGTTTTATTAGAAAGAAAAATTAAAAGTTTATACCCGAAGTAAATAAATCATTGAGAACTAAACAAATAGTCACGATTCATTGTTTCTATTAATGTGATCTAAATAGACTGATATCAATATCTCACAATTGAAAATTCTCTATGGGCCGTTATTCTATACACTTGAGTTTTTGTTTTTTCATCCAAAAGAATAGATTAGGTTTCAGTGCCTAGCGAAGGTGTTCTCTTTTAATATTCATTTTTTATATGGAGAACAAGGACGACATGATCAATACCTCGAAAAACTAATCATCTATTTCTAGTAATACTTTGTTTAGATGATGATAAAAAAGGTGAAATAAAAAAGTAGGTGTTGCAGCTTCATATATACTCTTTCATGCAAAAAGAAAAGCAATTGGCTACAATTAAGTTTCTTGGAAAATTCTAGCGTGTCCGAGCATAAATGTTAAGCAGAAACTGACGCGAATTATCGAACATTTTCGAGACAAATAAAAAATTATATTGTATATGAAAAACCTGCCAATCACTTTAACTTAATAAATCTATAAACTAATCATTTAAACCTTATTGTATTCAATTAAGACAAAAATAACAGAATGATTTGAACACAAACATCAAAATGGTATCCTTATATCTATATTACACAATATTTCATAACTATGTTTCTTACTTTGCTAGATCAAGTTTTTTTTGGTGATGCACTGAATTTTCTTTTGCTTTAATATATGTTGGACGATTTTTATTAATTTGTGCTTCCTATAAAAAAGATAACGTGTAAAATATAGTTCGTTTGTTTTTTTCAAGAAGCTGGCAATCGAAATTTTTTTTTGTCATAATTGGAGGAAACTTGGTATTAAAATCTTAATTTTAATATATTGAGACGATGCCTTTATAGTGAAACTTCGAAAAGTCAAGTTTAATAAAATAAGAAAAAACGTCAAATCTCGATAGTTTCAATACTTGTTCGAATTTTTGTTTTTCTTTTTACTCATCATATGATAAGAAAAAATATTGTTCAATTTTGGAGTAATCAAGTTTTTCAATTAGAACTTCATTTTCAAATTAAACTAATATCATACTCAAAGCTAATTTTTTTAAAATTTGAACCTTAGGTAGACCTCGTCGAGTTGCGGTGCACTAGTTACCAAATACAAAAACAATCGGAAAGTGTTTTGCACCTGCGAAACAGCTATCCTATGCCGATTAGAAAATTTTAATCAACCAATCCGGATTATGATCGGAAATGTTTTGACCCAACGAGCTCTTATCATAGATCAGACTAAGTTTTGCTTAAATTTTGAATTACCAGCATTCTGAAGAAAACAAAAAGAAATGTATCTATTTACTAGTTCTTTAATTTTTTGTTCATCAGTTGCAAGTTCTTTATTATAAATAGCTAATTCTTTTTTTTTATTTTTTATTTCTTCATCAGATATTTCTTTTCGTTTTTCTAATTTCATAACTTCATCTTTTTTCTTTTCAGCTATTTCACGTTTTTCAATTAATTCTTGTTTATTATGATATAATTGAAATAATTTTAATTGTAATTGTTGTTCATCCTAAACAAAAAAAAATATAATTTTCTTCTATTTATTTTTCTTTCTTACATATTGAGTTTTTAATGCAGCATATTTTTGTGCCACTTCTTTTTCTAATCGAACTTCTTTCTTTTGTTTTTCAACACCTTTTTTCTTTTGAAAATTTGCATGTGTATCTTGTTCAGCTTTATTTTTTTCTTGTTTAGCTTGTTCATATTCATCACGTAATTCTCCACTACGACTTAATTCTTCAAATATAGCCGTAAATTCTTTTGGTGTTTTCATAGCAATTGATTCAACTTGTCCTTGAAAAATAAGAAAATTTTTTGCTTTAGGTATAATACCCATATTTTCAAGTTCTTCAGTATATTCAGTTGCCGATAATTGTTGACCATCAACACGATATTCTGATGCATTACCAATAATTAAACGTTGAAAACGTTTTTCATGTTCATCAAGTTCACCATGACGGTCAGTTTGTATTGAAACAAATATTAATGAAACTGATGCACGATTACTAACAGGTTTATTTATTGGTGCACCATGAATTAATTCCTTTTGTGAAGAAAAAAAATTATTTTATTAATATTAAATAAATTAATAAGAAACATACGGATAATTTTCTAACACGTAAACTTTTTGTTGGTTCACCAAGAACAAAACTAATGGCATCCATAAGATTTGATTTACCTTAAAGATGAAATAACGAACAAATAATAAGATAAAGAACTTTTTTTGTTTTGTTTTTGTAAAAACAAACCAGATCCATTTGGTCCGATAATAGCAGTAAATTTTCTTAATGGACCGATAACAATATGACCTTTATATGATTTAAAATTATCGATTTCGACATATTTTAAGAAGTAACTCATTGCTACTTTTAACGATCTACATAAGAGACAAGAAAAGTTTATAATATGAAATACAAAAAACATAAAAGTGACGATTATAAATGAACAAAGTCAGATTCGACAATAGAAACAAAGATTTTAAAAAGGATGATTAATCATGGTTGTATTAGATAATAAATGATAATAGAAACTTTAATTAAGCCTTTTTTATATGATATTTATTTTAATAGAAATACTTTTTCGTAAGTTAGAATCAAGTATATTATCTATTATTTGATAATATTATTTGTTGTATACTATCGCCATCTAGAAATCAAGAGACACATACAGATTACCCTTATCTAACACTTAAAATAAATTAATTAACTAATTAAATCACATCAATCGAAAAAAATTATTATTACAGTAGATAAAATGAATTGTTTGTTTGGAAAATAGCTTAATCGATAGATTTTATCCAAGATATTTAGTTAAGATGTGTTGTATTGACTATGATGATTTGAAATATATTGTTTGCAAAATCTGCTATATATATAATGTTCAGTGTGTATTTCTCTGTGCCGAATCAAAGGTTAAACGTCAAAGTTGAAAGGTTAAGAATTCCA